GGTAGCAGATTTCCCTTAACTGATAACGTTTTGGGAATACATCATGAATTTTCATACAAATGAACAACATGAATCTTAGTATGTACCATCAACAAATGTATTTAAACAAGAGCAAATCCACTTATTTTACAGAAGTTTTAGGCATATGCCTAAAGTCTACTCTAGAATTTCACCTGCTATTATAAAAATAGAAAGAAAAATCTCATTTTGACGATATACCTTTAAAAGCAGCAAATGATACAAAACAACACACATTCCAGACATGAGAAAGCAAAACCTGTAACAGAAATATAGGTAGATCCTTTATAATCTCATTCACAAAGTACGACTACAGGTTTAAGACATATGGTCCATCGCAATATGAAAATGTTTTTGACGGAAGTTATCTTAAAAAAAAACAAGGAAAAAAAGAGTCATTACAAGGATATCCTTTAGAATTTACAATCTTTGATTTTATGAACCTATTTGTATCTATAAAGTTAATAAAAATAACTAGGAAATTTAAATCGCCTATTTAGGGCACACATTCTTAACAATTACAGAAGTCGTCTTTTCCCGCCACTTCAGCGTGATCTAAGACGAGCCTCATAAAGCAGACAGTGTATATCCTCTTTGAAACCTCCTTTTGATAATTGTAAATGACTGCAACAGAAGAAAGATAAGAGAACTGGGTCCACATTATTACTTTCTAGTAAAATGACATGATGTGCTGACACTTCTTTCCCTTCAACAACATAAATTAGAGGATATTATCTCCCTCCTGCACTTGACATTCAAATGAGTGATTGGGAACATAATGGGAAGCATAATTACATGGGCATGACAACATATAATTAGTGGGCTAAGACTGGTAAGTCTTGCCTAAGTATTCCAGCCCCAGCATCCAAATTGTCTGGTCCCTGGTATTTGAAAACCCAGCCCACCTGGCTTAGCAATTTGAGTTGAATATTTGATTGCAGATTCACTCTGTTTAATAACCCTCTTTAGGCTTTTCTTCATTTCCCAGGATTTATGAGAAATAAACTAATTTGTCTATTGCATAAATATCCACTGCTGACTGCTACATTTAGCTACAATGTTAACAATGCTTCCTGTTTTCTGCCCCACTCTAGTGTATTACTTGCTTTTTTGCTACAGACAATTGAAACATATCTATCTCAAAGACTGTAATAGTCTCAAATTTATCCTAATAGTCAAAGTCTTACACCAGGACTCTAGTCCTACGTCAGTCAAAAGTGACTAACACCACCGTTTTTCCCCCCTCAAATTTTAAATATACCTGGTTTGAAAACTAGCACCATCTAATAGAAACAAGAAACCCACTAGATGAGGCTGCTCCTCATGTTTTGCTTTTACAAAGTGAGATAGAATGGCATTTCATGCTAACAGGAACTGAGATAAAAAAGGGTTTGCCAGATGAGCATTGCCAGAGAGAAGAGCAGTGATTTATCAGCTTAGATGAATCAAGCACGTTGCTCTGGGATACTACCAAGAAGCACTTTGCCCTCATAGAACCTCTGCTGAGCAACTTGTGACTAGTTACGCACACCTAACATTCACTGAAGATCAAGTCTGTGAGCAGAAGGCAAGCAAAATCTTAAATCAGTATTTCCATATCACCTTCATCCCTGTAATGGGTCTTCTGTAAAATAGGAACCCTTTATTTAGTCCCTTTTATATTCTCACGTTTTTCCTTCAGTGACATTTTTGATGACCAGAGGAGGGGGGACAGGCACAAGTCTGGCATAGTGAACCATAATTCACTATAAATACAGACTACCAAAAATTCTCACATTCAGAGAGATAATTCTCTCTCCTCCTCCACCACTACCAAATAAATAAATAAATAAAAATCTGCCAACAATTGCTATCGACTTACAAAGAGCTCCTATATTCTACTCAAGAGCAGATTCATTTTTGGTGCAGATTCATTTTTTCTCATCTAAAAACATATTTTTTGTACAGTATTTGGACCCATTTAAGATCAGGCTGTTTTTTAGTTGAATGAACAATCATAGAACTGCTAGAAAATGTTCTCTTTTGTGTGAACTATCATGTTTTACTAGCATATATCTCCTTCTTGCCTTCTCTTTCTGATATGATCAGAAGCAAAAAGTAAATGTTTAAAGAATTAAGTTAATCAAAAATCTTGAAATTTCTTACCTTAAGAGCATCCAATATTTTAATATTAACAAGGTGTTATGTAACTTTTTTTGCAAGTTTCATCAAGTACTGGGAAAAGCTCAATAAAGGCCATAGCCTCATTCTCGGTTTCCTCTAATACCAAAACAACTTTAAATTATAGCTCTGCGCCTTATTATTACATTCCAATTTAAACTTGCTTTCCTCAGTATGCAAGCCGAACTAGAATGAGTAGGCATCTTCCCAATCCATTCTTGTACAAGAAATATGAGAATGCACACAAGTGACGAACAGAAAAGATGTTTGGCATTACCTACTTGAAAATGACTGTCCCCTTGTGACCTGGAGGGGGAAGAAGAAGCATTTTACTGGATTTTCCTTGTGCTTACTTCCTAATGTGAGGACAAGACCTTAACTTTAGTTCTCTCCCTGTAAAAAACGTATATCTCGACTATCAGAATGACCAAACCCAGATTTCCCATACATTGAAATTTTATGAAGTGAAAAATTACTAGAAGGAGAAAAAAGAAAAAAAGTGCACTACTTTTAGGACTCACATCTGTTACTAATATTTGTCTTACTTCTGCCCTTTCTGCCATTTATATCTTTCCCTTTCCATGCTTTTTTTTCCACCCCCCCCCCCATCCCTTGTGTTCTATCTTCTATTCACAGTCCATCTCAAATCCAGTTCTCAGTCCCGGTGTTCCTCTCTTTGTCTCCCCTCAGGTGTGGTTTTCTCCTTCTCTTCATCTTTCTTACTTTGGGCATAAATTCTTTTTGCCCTAATATCTGTTATAACTTCCCAGAGAAAAACATTTTCTAAAGCCCAGGTTTTCCTAGAGAGTAACTTTGCACAAGCATCACCTGCTTCTGCTTAAATAAGACCAGTTTGGACATAATTTGGTGCTTGGAGAGAACATGCAATATAACAAAACTGACTTGATAGCTGTAATATTTCCAGGCAAATGACTAACAAAGTATATTATTTCTTTTCCCTTACTCACTATTTGGAAGACAAAGACAAAACAGAATTAAAAAACAAACAAACAGAAAACCATTTAACAGCTATCCTCTCTGGTGAGCGAAAAATACCTACTCCCTACAAAATTTTTATTCTGTTTTCTGAAAGCTGTTTGCCATTATTTTCCAATGCTTTCCATTGTACAAGCATTCTATGCTAGGACACAGAGCCACACTGAAAGCAATGTTAAATACAGCACTTGGTGATAGAAGTCTGATCCAACTCCAGAATACTCGCCCTGATCCTAGTCCAGTACGTAGTGACCATATTTCACTGCAGAAAACTTGCTTCTCCCTCCTTCAGCAAAGAGGAAAGGAAAGAATGAAACACTGTGTGGGGTACAAGTTACTTCATGGGAACAAACGTTGAACAAAGATGAGGCTTCTGAGTACTTCATGGAGTTAAAACACTGCAAAGAGTTTGTGACTGCCAAAAGAAAATGCACTTCTGTGCACAGACATCTGATAAATACAGAAAAATGTGAATTTATCAGAAGATTCTCTCCTCAGTCAGAAAAGTGCAGCCCCACTATATAATTCTTGACACCACTCCTATGAGCCAAGATCAGCCTGAATACTAGGGTCTTTCATATGTCTTTGAGAAAGCTCAGATTGAAATCCAGATAAAAATATATCTTACCACTATTTCAGCACCAGTGATATCAATACATAAAAATATCATAACAATTTTAGCTAAGAATTTCCAAGACACTATAAAATTTCAACAATTCAAAGTAGTGTTTTGGGATATGAATTTCTTCAACTAGCCTCTCAATGTATTTTATAAATGTATTTTTCTGGACAGGTTTCTAAAACTTGTTTGCTTGTACCAGTGGAAAAACAGTTAAATTCTTGGCTTAACTTTTTTTTTTTTTTTTTTTTTTTTAACATAGCAAGTGACACAGGAGTTCTATATCAGAATGGAAGCTTATTGATGGTAGACCAATGAGTAAACAAAATAAAATTGGAAAAGACAGAATTTCAGTAAAGAACTCCATTTGCTCTCACTGCCTAGATGCACATTGAGATGGATCTGAATATGCAATCCAGGTGGAACTTGATTTACAGGGGGAAAATGCAACCACTGACAATTTGTGTCTCTCCCACTCAGTGGGGAAGGTATTACAAAATTAATTTTTTGAGGAGTTATCTACATAAAGAGTTAAAGTTCTCTAATTACTCTCACTGAGCAATTCACTCAGTGAATTACGTGTAATTCAGTCTGATGTGAATTACAGGTGACAGATTTGCTAATGATCCAAGTAACTGAATATAGAATCTTTTTTTCAAATAAGTAATTAATCTTGAAGAACTCAAATTCCTCAAAAACTGGGCAGGAAAGACCAATATCTTTCAATGGTGCATCACAGACTAGGTGTACAATACCAGACAGTTTTGAGCTGAACTCTGATTTTTTTGTACTAGAAAATATACAATAAATGCAGTAATTTAAAAACATTTTTTAAATATTCATTTTATGCTGCTGTCAGACCACAATAATAGAAATATGCATTTGTTAACAAGACAAGTAATCAAAGCTATATCAGATAGCCTGATCAGATATCAGATCATGTCAGCCCACTTCAGCCTTTTGGAGAGAGTTACAGAATTTAAGAAATTCTGTAATAACTGATTTTTCTGTTGCATCATCTTTATTTAGCTACAAAAACAAAACTCTCCAAAATCAGAACGGTTATGTGGTTACTTCTTTGGTAATGCTACAGAAAATCAAAAGATACTCTGTTGATCATAAAACTATAAATAAAAAATACATTTAAAAAATACTCCATTTATACTACTCTATTCTGTGAACATGAGTATTCTCTTACAGACATTACCTTATTGTCAGCTGTTGAACTTTCTATTGACATTCTTAGACTCTCCACTTGTACGTGATTTGTGTCTTCAGTACTTCAGACACCTGTACAAAACCAAACAGCTATATCATATTCCAAGGACTTATCAAAGGACTTAGCAATTTTTCAAAATCAATGGAAAGCATTACAAAGTAAGCAAACACATTTATATAAGTTATAATAACAGATATTTCAAATATTCTACTAATTACAGACCAACAGCATGAAGTAGTCATATCAACATAATTCACATAACAAGAAAGAAAGCAGAAGATATCTAGATCAGCACAAGAATATGGATTACAGAAAGGATGAAAAGCATATAACCAAATAAAACGAAAATAATGTTTTGAGCATAGACCATTAAAATAAAGAAACAAGAAAATGCTCCAGCAGTGTATTTATACACTTAATGACATGAATTCAAGATGACAAATGGCCTAAATATTTGTTCCCTATTGGGAAGAACTGAGACTGGAAAAAAAAAAAATCAAATAAAGTGTGTAAGGAAAGGGCAATATTAATTTTAAATGTCTGGAATATCAGCCTTGTACCTCTCCTTTTCCATATATCTGAGTAGTCTTCTCATTAGCATGCTTCAGTTAATGCTATTACCCAATCATGGATATCTTCATATAAAAGTATGCAATTCAATTCCTCCCAAATTTATTTAGCATAAATGCAGGCTCTGGGAACACTTCCTGCTTTTCTTGTAGTAAGTACACAAGGCAGAAGCTTCCCCTCATTTTCACAGGTCCCTTGACCTGGACAACTGGACCCCAGTCCACAGCACACAGGGGCATATTTTTGGTATACAGTGATTGTGAACCAGCCCTGGAAAGACTGCGTGAGGTCAGCAGAGTCTCCTCACTGACTCTTTGAACCACCTCAGACACGTTGGCCATGTCACTGAGGTGGAACACCGTGAATGGACTTGGTTAATCAAGGAAACCTGATTCTCTTACATAACAACAGTATTAACACAGCACAAATTTGGAATGAAAACAGAAACAAGGAACCTCAGTGAAGGTCATCCTCTCCTCCCTTCATAAATAAGCTTTAAATATATGTTGCGCAACATTGCTACATTGCACAATATTGATACCTTGTTCTCTACTTATAGCAGGAAACTGTCATAGCACAAAAAATTGGTAATTTGAAAAAGTCAAAAAAAGCTTAAATAATATTGAAATTAAGTATAAGCAGCTTTTTCTATGCCTTTTTATAGTACCATTGCATCACTTCAGATTAGCAGTAAGTAGGCTTCTTTTGTCAGGATTGCTGTTTGCATTAGCATATATTGTTATCATGCATACAGGGAGCCAAAATGTCCTCTAAGTATGTCTGCTTGGTCATAATAAAGAAAACAGTTGCTCTCATTTCTGAAATATAGAAGAAAATTCCTACTTCACTACAGATTGACTGATTCGTTTTAAATTGATTAGATCCAGCATAATAGGTAATAATTAGTAAGTAGGGCTTTGACACTCTGAAGTACATCCATCAAGAAGTCTCAGGTTGGACATGCTTACCATGTTTGCAAGGAGAAAATAACACAGAATCTGTTACCCACCATTTATTACACATTTGGCTATTTTTGCTTTCTAAAAGACAAAGATATTGAATAAAAAACTGTTTACTTGAAGGTTTTAAATTAACACTCGTTAGTAAAATATGCAGTTCTTCGTGAGCTTTTGCAAGCTAAAGAGACATTCCATTCGGACTACAACTACATGCACAGGTACTCGCTAATAGGCCTATCGGTTGCAGTCAAACAAATGTGTTGTTTTCATTCCAAATACATAATGATGCATGAAATCCTGGGGCAAACAAAGTGTCATCAGGTCATCAATTTGTCTCAGAGCTGTTAACCACCCGACAATGCAACTGTCTCCCATGTTTTAGAGAGAAAAAAGTACTCCAATGTAAAAGTAGAAAGGACATAAATAAATTTGATTTCAAGTAAAGGTTTCATGGGACAATCACTTCATGTTTCCATAAAGTCTTCCAGAAACCATGGCAATTCCCATAGTTACACTTAAGAGAGAAGTTTGATTAGAAACTTCAGTCTACAGCAAACCATGGAGCAAAATGCTACAGAATTTAAGAATATTTATGAAATTTTTTCTAGAACCAATCACATGGTTTGGGTTTATAAATACACCCAGCTTCACCAGCCCATTTGATATTGTGCCCTTATATTCGATAAAACATTCTATAAGAGTTAAATTAATAAATCAGTTACCAATATTTCTGTCACAAGCATTCCAAGACTTGCTGTTCTGAAAATGTAACTGAGAAAGGGTGGCAGAACTGATCAGTTAAGAACAGCAAATTCAGAAAGCAAAGGTATTCTTGCAACTAAAGAAGATTTACTAAAACAATGATCTATACTAACAAATGCTTGCCACATGAATTTTACTAGTACAACTGCATCAGCAAAGTCTTGCACAGACGCTCATACGGACACCAGTCTAGCCTGGAATTTCCAAGGTACTCCTCTTTGCTAAGGAACTGCACTTCATTCAACTTCCCAACTTTAACTCCGTTTTATTATTGCAAGAGAAATCGACTAGCACTTTCTTGCTAAGTAACAAGCTAACGTTGAGATAGGTGCCACTCACTCCGGGAAACATGCTTTTTGCAAAGTGAAATATATATATATTTCCATTTTCCATATATATATGGAAATATATATATTTCCACTACCTACAGTAGTGGAAACATTTTTATGCCAGTATATCCATTTCTGTAAAGCTTTTCCTTGTCTAGAAATACCACAGGAAAAAATCTCCTTTTACAGATGCTCTAATATAGAAAGTTTCTGTTAAATGACTAATCACTGCCAGCAATTCGATTCAAACACTAGGACTTAAGTACAGCCCATGCCAACGTCTGAAGCCTTATGGCAGCTACACAGCTAACACCTAAATACTGACCTATCCATTCCTTTTCCTGCTGAACTTTGGTGTTCTGTTAAGCCAGCCTTAGAATACTCTCACTACAGAAGAAAAAATAAAAGCTGAGGAACAGTCACAAATTAGGTCTTCCTATCTAATACGAAAGAGTCCTACCAGGTCTCCTAGAATAATGTACAATCCAACAGCCCACACTTGCATTCAGACTTGATGCCTGCTCACGAACATGGATTTGTCATCTGTGTTATTTGCTTCCTCAGGCATGACAATGCATTGGGAAGAGGTAACAAAACAATGCAAAAAGCACTTGAGCATAAATCAAGGAGGAAAACAGTAGCTTCCGCATTTCTGTTTGAGGGACCTATTTCCAAATCAACAACCTTCATTTTCCATTAACCTAAACAGAGAGGACTTTTTTTCCCTAAGCAAAGGTCAAAATCTAAATCCCCTAAACTACCTAACCTAATCTGTTTTCAATGAGTAAGTACTAACTGAAGTTAGGACTATATAAATATTAGTTGTTCTCCAGGAGACTGAAAAAAGACTGAATGAGATTGTTGTTGATAACAAGAAACACAAATGTCCCTGCTTTATGAACCAGAAAAAAAAAAATTCAATACTTCTACAGATGAGAGAGGGGGGGGGGGGGGGGAAAAAAAAAMAAAAAAAAMAAAAAAAACCACCTTCTGTTGCAAATCATCACCATCAGAGATTAACTTAAAAAAAAAAATGTTATTTACTGCAGCTTTCTAATGAGATACAAACCTGGCAGAGAGATGCTGCAAGGATTCCAGAGGAAGCAGACATCCATGTTTCAAAGCACATTCTCTTCAGCCTTGAAGCAAAGAACACAGTGTAGTAGCAACAGGATGATACATTCATTGCTACATCATCTGGGAAGTTTCTCAAACAGGGGCAGAAGGGAAGCAGGAGCCAAAAGCCTGCTTGGCACAGAAAAAAAAGGAAGACTTCACTGAGGAGACAGAGCATTGCTGGCAATAAATGTATAAAGAATATCAAGAAAACAGGCTAGAAAGGGCAAAAGATTCCCAAAGAGGCATTCCCAAAGTCAGGTGCCAGTAGGGCAGATGACTCATTGTGACAGACAGCAGAATCCAAGTGTTAGGAGGATTAAGTATGTTTTTGTCATCTTGACAGGATAGCCCTATAAAAGTCAGCAAAATACGAACCCAAATATTTGTTGGTCAAAGCTTAAATCCATATTTTGAAAATATGTTCTTCAAAATAATGCCAGATTATAACACCACCCACCTCCAATCAGGCCTTAGAAAGGTGGGTCTGCACACTTCCATATCCATATCTCACAACATAACAGTGACTGTGATACAGAACTTTCTAAGCAACCACTAGCCTTATGGCAAAATCCAGACTTTGACGACTTTAAGCCATAGTGGGAAAGAAACTGTTCTTCTAGTCTTTAATTTATGACTCTTGGTTAAAAGACAGCACTTGACATCACACTTCCCAGTGCACAAAAAGGACCAACTCATTATGTGGGCTACTTGTCTGCAGCTCTGTTTAGGGTTTATGCTTTGCTTACATAGACAAAAGGGTAAATCCAACATTCATTCTCATTTCCATAAAATGCATTTATTCATGTCTTATTCAAAAATGAAACTGCAGCTCCTTGTAAAGGGTAAAGATTAAACAACTTCACAAAAGAAGGTTCAGCAACTACATATGTATCTTAGCAAGCAGAATGGATTCGAGATTGAACTCTAGAGTATGACTTCTACAATTCCTCAACACAATCTATTGAAAAATACTTTGAAAATACACATTCTTTGCAGCACAAGCTTCAACTAAACAGTTTTAACACACATTTTATATTTTTATATATATATATATATACACGAAAATGTCAGATGGAGTCAACCTGCACTAGCATAGAAACAAATTTAAATTACAGCTCTTACTAAAAGAAATTAGAGCATTTTTACTGAGTCTAGGGACATCTAGGTCAGGACTTTCTTTATTTTCTAAATAAATTTATTTTCTAAATCTTTTCTAAATACAAAGCTTTTCTTCCATTAGGGTTCAATTCATTTATATAGATAAAAGCTAATGTGATCAACCGAAGAGTCTAAATCCAGGATGACTAACCTGTTACACCTTAACACAAGAATAAACTGAAATCTGAATCTAGTCTCACAGACTGATATTAGCATTGAAAAAGTGAATACACACACCTCATTGCCTCTTCCCATATTTATTTAATACAAATTGATGTCACAGCCTGTATCTCAAAAATCTCATCTCATGAATTATTCCTCTTCATTAATTCCACACATTTTATTCTAAGCAATAGAAGTCAGCCTTATCACCCTCCTTGAATGATAGCACTTCAGTCTGTCAACATTGAGCCAGTGTATGACTTAAGAAATATAAATAGAACTTAGAATGGTTTTCTAATAATAGTGAGATGGAGGGAAAAAAATGCCATAGTCTATATCTTGCTATTGCCACATAAAGATTAAAGCATTAGATTCCAATGCTTATGAATCCTGAGTTCCTACTGCAGTAAACATAGAACTCTCACTCACTTATATAGGATACTAACTGTTTTTAGACAACCATCACACAACTCTTCAATGCTGTGACAAAGAAATAAATGAAAATACTTCCTGACCTGAAGCCTTATATTTCAATAGAGCAAAAAAAAAAAAAAAAAAAAAATCATTTCTATCGAACATATTATTTTGTGTGTCTTATTATCAGTAATGCCAAAGTAATATGAATAACAGACTACAAAAGAAAACTCTCTAATTTCTCCCTTTGAAACTTCTTTCTTGTTGCTAATATTTGAGTCCAGATGGTTTTGGTACTTCACTATGCTTTGTTTACCCCCCCCCCCCTTTTTTTTTTTTTTTTGTAAATGGGAAAATACAGTCATAATGCCTTAAAAATGAACCAGAGGCTTTTCAGTAAGCTTTTTTTTTTTAAACTACTGGAGATTGTTTTCTAAGCCGACTACAAAATTTCTATCCACAGGGTCCCTTTAAGGCAAATTTAGCTTCTTTAGGCTCAGCTAATATTTGCCAATCCAAGATTCTGCCCTAGCTCCAGTTTCAGAAAGCTTCTGATAAAATCAGATTCAAAAGCTGTTTGAATCACAACCAATCTGCCTTCTCCCATATAATATGGTGAAGCCAGACTGGCATTACTCACTACCACAGTTCAGTCCTGAAATATTTTTACAGTGAGTACTCATGAAAGTATTGACGTCACTTGTTTAGAAAGAGAAGCTGGTGTCATCTGTTATCATATTATGCATCAACTGTATCTTGCCCCAGGTAATGAACATGCTATTATTCACTATTCCATTACTAATGCTTTCTATAGCTCATTAAAATATTTTTTTTTGGTTCATGTCATCCCTTACTGCCTTTCCTATAAGTGAAATTCATCTTCCTTATTCTTCTAATCTGCAGAAAAGACAGTCATTAGTTACAAATGATTAGGGAGAGAGACTTAAGGCTCTCGAATGACTTATTGTGTGGCCTTATTGTTACTGAAGTTATTGGTTTGGGAAATACTGATGTATGGTTGGGAACAAGCCTGAGTGGACAGGAACAGAATGGTCTCAGAGATCCTTTCTGTTTCGTGGTGTCAGAGTCCAACAACATGCAATATTGCTCCACCATAGGTAGAGCAGCTCAGTGAGTAACAAACCTACATATCACATCTTATTTATTACGGGAACATTTTCAAACGCCTATCTAGCCTTTTGAAGAGGTCGGGAATGAGCAATAACATTCTCTAACCTATTCTTGTTTGAATCCATTCTGGAATCAGAGGAATGAATGGAACAGAGGTAAAATACTCTTGTCTGTAGGTTTTTCTTCTGAACTCTAAAGTTCTAAACAAACGTACTTGAAAATAATTTTTATCTAGCTAAAAAGATAAATTGAGACTTACTCTAGGCTTAACTAGTAACTTAGGATTTTCTTTAAACATCACAATCACCATTATAATTTAAAAATAATTTATGCTATTTTAGCATCTGTATTACAAATTCAAGGCATGCAGTAGGACACCTCTGTTTTATTTATTATCATTACTGCTGCACCACCTGCAATAACAAGAGGGGTACTTTGTAGCTATCCAGCTAAACAAGTAACAGTCAAAATTTCATAGCATTTCCTTGAATGATCCATTATTCATGAGAAAGTGTCATGAATCCCTAAACCCCCCAAATCCCTAAAATCCCTAGAACTCCCCCAAATTTTCCTGGTGTGGTAATTGGGGAATTCCTTATTAAATGGCATTAGCAGCATTTGCAGAACAATGTGGAAGCAACTCAGTGCACCACCAGCACTCTGCCACACCTAAGCGGCCTTCTCAGGGGCTGCTCTTCTCTGCTCCCCCGACTTGGTGGGGTTTGTGGGAGATAAAGGGTGCACAGCTTCAAATTCCACTTTAAATCTCTCTGGAAGCTGGCACAACCTGGCTAGTTCTTATTCACTACAGCCTAAACCCTACCCTCAAGTACCACAGGAATCCAAAACAAGGGCCTTCACATGTGTTGGACCCAGAAAGCTGAGCATTACCTGTGGGAGGCCCCTTCTGAATGCATTCACCAGGCCAAGGCGTGAGGCCACTGCCTGCGACGACCAAAACGGTCCCTCAGCTCTGGGACCATCACCCCAGAGACAGCAACACCTTTTCCACGCAGCACTACGCAGGGACCACCATGTTTCCCTCACTCATTAGCTAGCAGCAAGCCCTGCACAAGTGAGCCGTGGTTATCACGGCCTAGGGCTGTCGCGACAGGGACCGACAGAGAGAGAGGAACAACCTCCTCGCGAGGCGCCCGGCGCGAGCGCGCGCCACCACTCAAACCTTCCCGCCACAAGCAGCGCGCATGCGCAGCACGCCAGTCCCACCGCCGAATCACGTGAGTAAAGGCGCATGTCCCCAACTGCCAGCAAAAAAAAGGGCTGCCCTTTGGATCACGTGATTCCCTCCCGTCTCCTGAGGGAAGAGCCTTGTTACTTCCTTTTTCCTCTCCCAGGCGGAAGTGCCTGTGTAGACTGCTTGTAGGTTCCGCCGCTCTATGGTGAGCTGATGGTCAGAAGGACGTGATGGCTGCGGTTAATGGCTGCCACTGATAGCGGCGCTGTTACGGTTGGAAGATCGTAGAAGGTGGGCGCTGAGGCCCCGGGCAAATGCGGAGAAAAGCCCCCGACTATAGGGATAGCCCTGTGGCCATGGAAGCAGAGGGAGGGAAGGTCTAGAGCAGCGGGACACATGTGGAGGTGGCAGAGGTGACTGTGGATGTTTTGGGACGGGTGGGTGTGGGGAGGGGTGATGTGAGACGATCGTTGACAGTGTTGGGGGGGGGGGGGGGGGGGGGGGGGGTGGTTTTGGGGGGGGGGGGGGGGGGGGGGGGGGGAGGGGGGAGAGGTGTGGAGGGTTGGGGGGTAGAGGCGGCGAGATGCAGCCTTTGGTGGGGGAGGGGGGGCCAGAGGCGGCCGTTGGCTGTGGGGAGAGGGAGCTAAGCGGCTGTTGGTTGGGGGAGGTGGAGGTGGCCGTTGGTCGTCAGGGAGGGGGGCTAGGAGGCCGTTGGTTTGGGGAGGTGGAGGTGGCCGTTGGCTGTCAGGGAGGGGGCTAGGCGGCCGTTGGTTGRGGGGGCGGAGGTGGCCGTTGGCCGTCAGGGAGGGGGGCTAGGCGGCCGTTGGTTGAGGGGGCGGAGGTGGCCGTTGGCCGTCAGGGAGGGGGGCTAGGCGGCCGTTGGTTGRGGGGGCGGAGGTGGCCGTTGGCCGTCAGGGAGGGGGGCTAGGCGGCCGTTGGTTGRGGGGGCGGAGGTGGCCGTTGGCCGTCAGGGAGGGGGGCTAGGCGGCCGTTGGTTGRGGGGGCGGAGGTGGCCGTTGGCCGTCAGGGAGGGGGGCTAGGCGGCCGTTGGTTGRGGGGGCGGAGGTGGCCGTTGGCCGTCAGGGAGGGGGGCTAGGCGGCCGTTGGTTGGGGGGGCGGAGGTGGCCGTTGGCCGTAGGGGAGGGGGCTAGGCGGCCGTTGGTTGGGGGGGCGGAGGCGGCGCGAGGCGGCTGTTGTTTGGCCGCGTGGGGGGGGGTGAGGGGGCGGAGGCGGCGCTAGGCGGCCGATGATTGGAGGGGGGAAAGGAGGCGGTGCGAGGCGGTCATTGGTTGGTAGGGTGTGGAGGCGGCGCGAGGCGGCCATTGGTTCTGAAGGGGCGGGGCGGGGGGAGAGGCTCGAGACGGCCGTTGGCTCAGCGGGGCGGGGCGGGGCGGGGCGGGGGGAGAGGCGCGAGGTGGCCGTTGGCCCTGAGCGGGAGGAGCGCCGGCCGTAGGCGCTGCCGGCGCGCAGACGTTGCCTCAGCGGGCTGGTAATTTTCGGTTTAAATGTACCTAATGCAGAATGAAAAGGTATTTGCTTACCTGTGCAGGTAAACAGGAGAACATATACTAGAAATAAACAGGTATTAGAAAGTTAATTTATGAAGACCAACGTTAAAATAGCTAGTACTTTATTTAGGAATAAGCACAAAGTAACTTATTTTACTGCCTTGTCAGTGTTGAAAATGCAATATACACGTATCTTGCAGAACTTAAGCTGTCTTAGAAAGACAGACTAGTTTACTTGAGCACACGACGGAATAAAGTTTCAGGCTCAGTAATGTAGAAATATGTGGCATTGAATTAAAAAAAAAAGAACAAGAAACAAGTTTTTGATGTCAAGTGTTCTACGATATGTTGATTTAGAATTAGAAATTTAATAAAGTTACTGAATCAAGTGAGGCATACTCTTCTACTTTATTAAATAGATATTGGTGAACTTCATAGACTTATGTGCAGCAGATATTCTTAATGACAAAAATATTTTAGCACTAATCCAGTTTTCTGTCATCTTTGTTACTCACATGGATCAGAAGAGTTGTGCAAGACACAAGAAGTATCTTTTACTTAGATTACTGAAATTCTAGTTAAGAGTTTTAACATAGTAATTTATTATTAGACCTGCAGTCTTTGAAATGCAGCATTAGCTTTTTTTTTTCCTCATTAGAAATGTTAGCATAACACTTTTTCAATTTCCAGATAACTTACAGAAGCTGAAACTATATTTGCTTTATCTTCAAAATAAATGCTTTTCAGCAAAGCTGCTGTATTTGTAGCTTGGGTGCTTAAAACATTGTGGCTTCCACATCCAGCAGTCTTTGTGCCTCTGTGAACACTTAAAAATCTGAAAGCTGGAACATTCTTAATGATAAGCTCAGGCAAGGTGTCTAGATATTTATTAATTAATATTCAGTTCTGTTGTGAAAAATTGTATATAATTGTATACCTTAAAACAAGGCTACCAGTCTTTAGTATAGCCCAGTGTATCAATCATGCTTGGAATAGTTGTATCACTACACAGTATTGTTTTCTATGCGAGACCTTTTAATATGTATGTACATACATGAACATAAACTGTATGTACAGTTTAATATAGGGAAATGTGTTATGTATTGAGTTCAAGAAAACTGAAGTATTGTAGTCAAAGTGATTTCTCATGCAAAAATGCCCCAATCAATGGCTTTGCAGAGTATTTTAAAGGCCTATTTACTTCTCATTAGTCTATGTTAAGATTTTACACCAAAACCGCTGTGTTCATTTTTCTGTGTGTAGAATAAATCTGCACCTTTCAGTCTCACGTCATTAGATGGTGTTGTGTTGTTTGCTTTATTTTATTGAAAATGACATTCCACATGTCTTTCCACTGTACACATTGAATGATATTTGTATTGATGAAAAAGTCGCATTACACTGTCCAATAGCTAGCACGAATGGCTATGCATTTTAATTTGTCTGATTTTCTTAGTTTGTAGGTGGAACTTTAAGAGCTTAGATTGTGTTCATTTAGGATAGGATTCTCCAGTGTTTTCGAAAGCAAATGAAATCTTTAATTTCTCCTGGTAGATGTTTCTTTGTTGTCATAAAAATAACAAATATGGGCTCAGATAGGATGTTTTAGGGCCATCACTAGGTTTACAGCAAGCTTTGGTATGGGTATGAGACCACTCTTCGGTAATTAATGTTTAAATGAGTGCTTAGCATTTACATCAGGTAGACATAGCGATCTCTTGTTGAGAGCTGCCTGCCTAAGACCATATTACCAGAACATCTGCACATGTCTAGAACTACTAATCTTTGTGTACAGTGTGGGCTGATGTTTCTTGAAAAGGTTCAGGTTGATTTGGTGTGTTCTTTGCTCCCAGGAAGAAGAGGGGAAAGAGCACATGGAAAAACTGTTGGATGTAAATCAGTACCATTAGACAATCTATGTAGCTTAGTTTTAGCTACTTTTTTACTGAAAAGCTACTTGGAAATAAGATGGATAAATTCTTCAGCTTGCAATAGCTCTCTCCTGTGGGCTCGCTTTGCCACCTTCCTTAACTGTCTGGGATAGTGATTTGCCTTACATACCAAGAGAGAGGAGCCCTTCCAGAAGCTGATCAACCTAGCAGACAGCTGTCCAAATGATTCATCCAACTCGCACCTTGTTTTGCAAATTACCTTTGAGAAGGTGTTACTGGCATGAATAATTTTAGTTGGCATGTATTATAGCTTAAAAATACCCTTTGAGGGAAGTATAAGGTGCATTTTTAATTTCTAGAATTGAATTTAATATATTCTTAGTCTAGACTAGGAGACGGTAGTATATTGTAACTTCTTCAAACTTTTAAAAACTAATTAAATTTTATCAAGCTTGCAAATAAAGGCTATCAGCACAAATCTTATTCATGTTAATGCTTTTTTTAGGGCGATCTTCATAGAAGCTACTAAAGACTACACAGAGTTATTTTAGGAAAAATAAGTGGAGTAAATTGTTTTGAGCAAGGAAAATGGATCCTTGCTCAGTTGGGATTCAGCTTCAAGCTACCAATGAGTGTCATAAAACCTACTATACGCGTCACAGTGGTTTGAAGACTAAGCAAGATATATCTTCATCTGACCTACTGTTACTTCAGCTTAGGACTGGAATGACCCTTTCAGAGAACAATACAATTTGCTTCCATCATGCAAAAATATACATTGAAAGATTTGAAGACTTGCAAAAATCGTGCTGTGATCCCTTTAATATACACAGAAAACTATCAAAAAAAAACTTACGTGCAATTGATTTAGATGATGCAACTTTTCTAAGTGCCAAGTTTGGAAGGCAGTTTGTACCTGGCTGGAAGCTTTGTCCCAAGTGTATGCAGATAATAAATGGAAGCGTGGATGTTGAATCTGAAGATCGCCAAAGAAGAAAACTGGATTCAGATGTATGTATATGCGTCTGTTTTTTACTAACTTCAAACCCTGTAAGCTGTTGGAATTGGGCTTCATTTAAGTTTTGTGTAAAACTTTTAAAAGAAAAGACTTTCTAGCAGAAATGTGAGAGAGTACAACCTTTTAAATGTCTCTGTTTAAATGCTCACTATATTTAAACCTGCATTTTGAAGGCTCTTCAGTTGATTGTTTGCATGCACTTTGAGGAAACACTCAACTTTTTAAATTAAAAAAATCCTTCCTAAATAATTATTATGATCATTTTAATTCCAGTGACTGTTCTAGGGCTATTTACCCTAAGTTTATATAAATAGCAGACTGCTACCTTGTATTTATTTATACCTGTTTTTCAGGTCTAGCAAAAGACAAGCTTGCGTGTTTAAAACTGAACACTGCAAAGATTGCTTCTAAGGATGCAGAGATACACTGTGTTGGTTTCTCTGGTTTAAAAATACACTGTCCCTAGCAGTTCATTACCAAGAAAACCTGCACTGAGGTGAATTAAATGTACTCTGCTGTGTTGTCTGAGCTGTGAAGGCCGTGGCCTTTGTTCAGGGGCAGTAATGAACTGGCGTGGGAGGAAGATTCTTTAAGAGCAAAGTCTGGAATACAGTTTGTACATTGTTGGAAGCTTTGTTCAAGATGTATGCAGATAATGAACAGAAGAGTGGGCAATCAAATTAACAGAAGCTCATACATACGTGCCCTGTAGCAAAACAAAACTGCAACCTAGAAGCAGCTCCACTTTCAGCCCAGAAGCAGTCACATGAATTTTTTAGATGCGATGTCAGCATGCTTTAGAGACTCATCACATATGAAGCTGAAATTTGAAAGAATGCGTTCATTACACCTGCTACGATAAAGCTTGTACCATTGGTTTTTGGACTTGTGTTATTCCTGCTAGGAAATTCACTACAGAGTTGAAACCAACAATTTACCTAAATTGTTTTAAAAGCCTAGCTTGACAGGCCATTTTCTTGTGATGTAGGTTCATGTTCATATTTAAATGAGATTTTCTGTTTCTGTTCAGGGGCGTACAGCTAAAGCTTTGAAGTCTCTGCAGTTTGCTAATCCGGGACGACAGACAGAGTTCACTCCAGAGACCAGTAAAAGGGAAAAAAGAAGGCTGCAGACAAAAAACACTTTGTTTAATTCAGACAGGTGGGCTGCTTCCAGTATTTATGTTGCTATCTTTCATATCTTTCATTTCAAAATGGAGTAGCCTCAACAATCACTGTCCCTAAAAGACTAACATTTTCTGCAAGGAAGATAGGATGCTTATGTGGTTTTGTTTTTTAGAGTCAGGAACAGTTTAACTAAACTGCTGCTGTAACTCACATGATTAAGATAAACAAAAGAGGATAAAACAAAATACAATCTGTATTTCAGTCAAATAAGAACAAGTGTTTGTAAGATCAGAAATGGCAATGCTACACAGACTATAGATGAAGCTATCAATTTATATGCAAACTAAAAATATAATAATTAAACTTGAATAGAGAATGGTCAATGTGGAGTTATAATCTTTTGTCAAGCTCAGAAACAAAAGCATTTAAGTTAGGGTGAATCTTTCTTACTTTAAACAAAGTTAGTGAATTGTTGTCTGCCATTCTGGACAGTGCTAGATGGCAAGTTAAAACTTCTTGTGGGCCTGACTTCCAAGTCAGGCATCTGACAGATGCAACTGAGTTATATGATATTTTCCAAATAAGTCTTGGTATTATACAAATTTGAGAATAACAGAAATTTCAGTTGTAACTAGTCCTACAACTTGATATAAAATCACGCAAGAAAGATATTTCTGCTATCCACCTGAAGTTATCCTTACAATACAGTAAGTAGACGGCACTACCTGAGCTGTTACTGTCCTTCCATTCATTTCTTCTATGCAATTAGAGTTAAGTTTACTTCATAACTAAGAAGAATATTGAAAGATGATTAAATAAATGATTGTAGTGTTGAAGAAACTCTAAAACCTTCTTATTCTTGAAGTGAGTTCCAAAGCTCTACGATAGTGTAGATATGATTAAGGAGAAGTTAAGGTTAAGGAGAGGATTAAGAGAGATGATTAAGTTTGCAAGTAGTAAAATATTTGCATTTTTTAGATTTGTAAGAGTTACTTTTAACACCTGAAAAAAGAAAACTTCTGTCTGCAATTGTTAACATCTTGATATCAAAATAGATGGATTTTTAACATGGAAATAACAGTTGTTTTTCATTATGCAGGCAAGTTATACCAGCTAAGAGTAAAGTCTACGATAGCCAGGGACTTCTCCTGTACAGTGGAATGGACCTCTGTGATTGCCTTGATGAAGATTGTCTGGGATGTTTCTATGCTTGCCCCAAGTGTGGCTCCAACAAGTGCGGAGCTGAATGTCGTTGTGATCGCAAGTGGCTCTATGAGCAAATTGAGATAGAAGGAGGAGAAATCATTCGCAATAAGCATGTGGGTTAGTGTATATATGAATTACTTGGTTCATATACTCCATACATTGATTAAATATAGTGCATTCCTCACTTAGAGCTTAAAGTCATTGGAATTTATCATGATCCGCATGATCAATGCCCTTGTTTTGATATTTTCAACATGATTATGGTTATGTTATCATACTGATATGTTGTCATCCCTCATTCTACCTTGTAGTCAGTCTTGTTTAGTCTTATGAGAAAGTCGTCATTGAACAGTTCTGCATTATGAAATAGAAGATGCTAAATTCTTATGTGACCTTCTTGGCCACTAACTCCATTCAATACACTTCTGTGGAGTGTACTATCTCTATGCATCCCTCATTTATCCTTCTCTATTTCAGAATCTCATGATTTTGATTGCTTCATTTGTGAAATACACTTCTCTGTTGTAAATTTTTGGTAAAATTACATACAGTATTAATAAAGTTTTCCCCGGTATTAATAGTGAATGCTGTATCTTCTATAGATTATGGCAGCTATATATGATAAATGTAATATATATTACTAACTGGATTCAGAGATATTTAGTTCACATGTCCAAGTTATTGAGATTTAGGATCAAGCTACTAAAGGAATTCAAGCCTCACTGTAACACTTGTTAGTGAATTGTCAAAACATTGAAAAATATTTAAGCATGTCATTATTGTACTATGTTTAGCTGGATTCTGCATAATACAAAATAGTTTATCTGTAACTGGTAATTGGACTGGAATGTCACCATTTCTGTCCTCTTTCTTTTTGCTTGTTTTTAAGGTAAGGGTTTCCATGCAGCAGAAGACAATTCAAGTATCTGTTCCCAAGCTAAGGCTATCAAGACTGGTACAAAAAGCAGTTGAAATTATTTTAGTTGATTTAATATTAATGCTCAGAAGATTGTTATTTCCTGGCATTTTTGTTGTTGTCTAAAGTCTACATATAATCTTGGATCATATTTATTTTAAGGATGCTGTTAACTATTGCCTTCTGGAGTTTTCGACTTGATAAAGCTGAATAATCTTTTTCTTTTCTTTTCCTGGTAAGTGATGTGAAAGGGGTTGTATTTGTGTAACACGAAGTTATGCTTTGAGTTGTACTGACATCTGCTGGTCCTAGTGAAGTATAAACATCAACTTAAACTCATGCATTTGTTAGATCTTCTTGGAATAATTAGTCTTTTCATCAGAGCAGTGGCTGTTCTTCCAGTGTGTGCCCCACTAGCCCTAGATTCCAGACATTTCTCACACGACTTATGTATTTTTGTTTTTGGACAGCAGCATGCTGTTTATATTTTTTTCAGATGGCAACATCACAAATGAGTAATAGCTATTCTGTTCGGTAGAAACTTAAAGTCTGCTAGCCATGACATTTTCTACATGCAAGTGACAGTTAATGCATTGCATTATGGTGGTTACCAAGTGTTTATCTTGACACATCAGTTAGCAATTGGTGTATTTTGTCTCTGTTTAGGATTGTTTCAGCTCTTAGACAACTTTTAATTTTAGAAGTTTAAAAGATGAAAAAAAATAGAGGTATCTCCATCTATCTGCATTAGAGTCACTAAATGAGTATAAGCAATACCCAAATTTAATAAGCATAACAGGCTTCTGATTTTTTTGAGTATAACGTACAACCAAAGCCTGGAGTAAATCTCCAGTAAATCTCTAATAAGTTAATATATTCAGTGTTTTGATTTGCAAATTCAGTATTAATGATGACTTCAGCAAATAAATCACTGAAGATGTTCTCAAACAAAATGTGCAGGGCTACTGTTTGACTGAAAACCTGCTGTAAGTAATGGGTATTATTGAATGCTATAGAAGCTGTGTAAGATGTAACAGGATTTTTTGATGATGTTTGTTCAGATTAGTTAGCTGTATATGGGACAGTAAGGGCAGAACTTTGGCTGTCCTATTTCTTAAGAAATACTGCTAGCAAGACTTGAGCACCTTAAATTTCTTCAGCTATTAGAAATCTAGTTATAGTAATCTGAAGTGTTTTCACTTCATCCTAGTGCAAAAAGCAGAAGCAGAAATGAACAACTTTAAGTAGGTGGTTTATACTTGGAATGGCTACACAAACCCAAACAGTTTCCTGTAAATTTATTCAAGTGAAATCTGATGTCTTCTTTTCAGGTTTTATCCTCTATATGTTGGAAACTTTGTTGCAGTCTCTAGAACTAAATGTCTAATCTACATATGTTAAAGCTGGAGAAAAGGAGAGAACATCCATCTTACATTATACAGCAGTAGTACTATCAGGAACATCCTTGTAAGTGCCAGAAATGTAGCAAGGGTGGTAGTGGCTAGGAAAAACAGGGAAGGCGGATTATTGCTGTCCAGTGCACCTTATTTTCCTTAGCTTGCAGTAGTGACTGTAGGTAAGTATTGCCAAGTTTGCCTTTCCTTCACACTTCACGTTTGTCTTGCCACTATCTAATCAATATTAACTTCACTATTCAGACCGTGTATTAAATGAGAGAATGGGAGGTAAATGGTTGATACAGAATGAAAAGCTAGTATTTTAAGAGAAGAATCCTTGCCTGGAAAACTGAGAGCAAAGCTGCATAACCACTCTGGCTAATAAAATGGGAAAAATGGGATCACTGCAAGCAAGCTAACTCCATACCGCATCCTTTTAGAAATACATTCCTGTTAAAACACTGCAGTCAGAGCAGGCTTCTAATCTAAGGTTGTAGAAAAGAGAAGTTGCCAAAACAAAAGTTAATGACAGCAATGATTAAATTAGACATCTTTCTGGACTCATTTACACCAGATGACAAAGCAATCTTATATGTAGACAGTTATGACACTGATTATATCCCTGAACAATAGTCAGGACCGCAGATTTTAGTTCATCTAATTGCCCCAATAAATGTCGCAAACTTTTTAGGTACATGTTCTCTAAAAGGGGGCAGTATTTAGGCAAGATTGTTACCTACTTTGTTGCCTAAAAAGTTAGACTAAGAGCCAATTTGCCATATTGGTATCCAGTGTAGCCATATTTATATTCAGAGTAATGGGCATGTACAGAGGTATTTTTTCATGCCTGCTATAGTTTGGTTCTTTTGAGTTTTTAAAAATAAGCTAAACTAGATAAGTTTTAGTTTCCCACACCATGTTTTATTTTGCTATCAAAATGAACTTTGGCTTTGCATACACAGTGTGACCAAAATAAGTATGTAATCTTTAGGGTGCTTGGAACCCTTAATATGCTTTTTTACACTTCCATTTCATACTCATTCATTCTCCAATTAAAAGGTTGGCTTTTGCAAGGCAAACTTTACTATCCTGCAAGGTTTAAAATGTTCACAGCTATGAAATATAACTATGCATTTATATGAAGTTAAACACCCCACAGTCTTCTAGCATAAATCTTTTATTGCAATCCAAAAGTAAAAATATGTTGTATTTACATAGTCCCCAGTCTTTTTGGATTATCCTGCAGTTAGGCCTGTTAAATATTTATCTTGAGTATAGCCAAATGAAAGTTTTCCTTACAGTAAAGGTTATAAAACGGCTATAATCACTTTAAAGTGTGTGTAGATCAAAGAGAAAAGCCAATTCTAGATACTGCATTTACTGGTAAAATTTTTGCCTACTGATAATGATTGCAAAAAAATAATGTCTTAAACTTCACGTATTGAAAGCAAAGAAATCAATGACAATAAAGTAATTTTGTAAATACTAACTACCTCGTGAAGCAGTTGAGTTGTTTAAACAGGCACCTGATATGTGATGTACTTTTAAATACTGTTTTGATTTCTTGCACAGAAAACCAACAATTTAAAATCAAGTCAAATTTAACATCTAAAATCAGGAGAAATCATCCTATTGACATAATGAGGTTTACATCAGAACCGTGCAGCCATATCTAAGATATGATGTGCCCCATTTTTGTTGGATTTGAAGGCTTCACACAGTGATGAAATATTCTCTGGGATATTCCTAGTCAAAAGCTCAGAAAGCAAACCTACATATATAATTTATATTCAGGTAATTAACTTGGAAAAGGCATTTTATTGACACTTTAAGTATCTATGCTCCTGAAAGGCATTTATCTTTGGGAAAGGTGATGAAGCGAAAACGAATGATGATAGCCAGCTAAGAACAGAAGACTGGTCTCTTAAAAATGTGACTTGAGTAGAGTGATTGTAATTCTCTTTTGTATTAATCATTGTAAAAAATAAAATGTCATTAAAGCTTTAGTTTAATACTTGAGTTGCTCTAGACATTTTCAATTTTCACTTTTTTAACTGCTTGACTTTCAGGTTCAATAAATAAGTTTCTGAGTAAAGCCAAGTATAGGAGATGAACCAAGTGAGAGAGTGCCTCTTTCAGCTAACTTTCTCAAGAGCAATACTGCACTGGAAAAACAAAGTACTTCTACATGAGTGGGCTCAAGTATTCAAACAAACCCAAGCTGAAGACTTCAGAACTGTCTGTAAGTCATTAGCATAATCTGAATTTAGGCTCCTGAATATACATGAAAGAACTCTAGTGTCTAATACTCTGCAAGAAAAAAAAAAAAAGAATTTCTTTTGTAGTGGTTACATCCAGTAGAGACATTAAAGAAAATATTAATGGTATATAGAAAGCTTACAATGGTTGCAGATCTTTCACATTTTTGATTCTATCATAACTAATGAAGTGGCAGGTACACATTATAATGTTACTCAGAGACACAGCATGAATTTAGGTTTCTTTTAATCAGTTTGGCTCACAACACTCAGACTAACATGAGAAAATTCCGCTTACTTTTGAATCCAAGTGGACGAGCCAGCACAGCAAGCAGGATTTAATGGATCCAAACATCAGACTAAAAGCCTCTAAGGGGAAAAGAAAATACAGAAAATTGAGTTAAGGCAAGACTGATTTTCCCTATTTTATTTTTTTAGCCTATTTGTAATATGGATCCTATAAATACTGTCAACAAAGGACAAGCAGACAACTACATATGAGCATATGCTAAAGACTCACGGTTACATGGCTACACCAAGGTTGGGCAGTTGTGCACAATCTGCCCTATTTTATGTGACAGAGCTGTAGTTGACTTTGCTAGAATCAGTATTAAAGCTGTTAAAGTAAATTGTCCAGTTCGGTGTTTTGTTTGAAAGTGATTATTGATTTTAAAGTACCCCAGGTTTGCATTTTAAAAGTTTCTCGTAGCCAGTAGAGGGCATCAGTTTACTACAAACCTGATCACTTAACTTTTTTATAGGGGTGTATTTGCATTCACTTCAGCAGAGGAGATTTCATTTTAGGACAGATTCAGGAACCGTGTCCAAGAGCAGAGATACGCTATCTAGGTCAGGAAGGGTGCATGAGAACAGAATCAAATACAAGATTATCATTTTAAAAGCAGACAGACTAGATTTGCCCTTTGGTTTTCCAAAATATATTTTTCCCCATGAACCTTGTTGATTCTTATTCCTTCAGGCGTGTATGAGTACAAGTCCTTACAAAGGAGTTCACAGTTTACACTACTCACTATGATAATTTGATTCTAAAACTCCAGCCTTAGGAATTCAATGCTAAGTAGTGTTAAAAAAGCCCATTCATAGCCCATTCATAGCTATGAAGGATATCCTGCAATCCTTAGTGAAATGAAGGCTTTCTGACATCCACACTTGCTGTTGTTAGTGTGTAGTATATCACTCAAGAGTTGCCGGCAGTCATTTTCCAGGACGAACACTTGTACTCTGATGTGTTCCAGAGTACAGCATTTTACTAGAACATACATTAGCACAGCATTAAGAA